AATAACCTTGATATTATTGAAATCTTTGCAGGCAGACAGCTAGCCAGCTGCTAACAACTATCTACAGGTATGTATGCTGAACTCAAAACTGGATTGCAGCTGTTTGGCATTAGCTGAACCACAGTATCCCTAAGGGTTGCCTTATTTTCAGAGTAACACAATGTAGGAAGGTTTACTGTGCACAGTTGGATGGCCTGGAACACTTCTGACAGTCCTGGCACACAGGATACCTGATTCCAGCATTTTCCAGTGTTTCCCACAGGTAACCAGAGTGAACATCTGTACGGCATCTGCCCCTGGTTGGCCCACATTCTGTCAAAAAATCTTTAGGGAAGTAACAGACATCTGTGTCTTCAGGGTGATAGCTCTCATGTTCTCCCTTTGCTTTGTGTTGATCCTGATGTCCATTTGTCATGGGTGAGGTGTGATTACTATTTCATTACTGGCCTTTAATAATTTTTTCTGCTTGTAGAGGATAGAGAAGAATTCTTTTGTGTCACCTCTGTGCAGCTAATGCTTAGAAAATGGGAGAGTACACTGTACATCAGTGCCTGGAAAAGTCCAAGAAAGCAATCCTGGAGCATGCACACTACCTACTGTAGTGTATTTCAAAAACAAATTCAGAGCATCTGAAACTAGGCCTTTTTTTTTTTCTTCCATTGAAGATTCATGTGTTTTCCATGGGCATCTCAGTATTTAACTTAGATGCCTAAAGTAAGTATATGATTACAGCCTTCACTTGCTGCATTAGGACAAGACAAGTTGGATATTTTTGTCAGCCTTATAGGTTTCTATTTCCTCTTGGTAAACTACTTGGTTCAGTAGGTACTACCTTATATTAGCATATTCCCAGTTAAAACTGGTTATGGTAAAAGTCTAATTTTCTTCTCCCCCCCCTTCTAATTATAGTCTCTGAGACTTGCTTATGGGTTACTTCAGTGATGACAGATGCCTTTTATTAATATTATTACTTTTAAAATTAATAAGTGCAAAGTTTGTAAACAAAAATCACAAGTTTCCTTATAGGGTTTAGCTTTCACATGCTAGAAGGGAACCCTGGGCCCCTGTCTGTGCCATGCTTCTCATCCTCAAATTAGGCCACCTTGTTGCAGTATCCTTCAGAACTATAATTTTATCTAGCCCTGTAATGTTAATTATTATTTTCATCATCATCAGTACAGCAACTGCCACTTATGTACCTGGAGGAGGATCAGCATCTCAAGGCTATTCTCTAGGCTTAATCGTGTGGAGACAACCAGGCTTGTCACTAGCACATCCAGGCCAAGGCCTGATCCTGTGGTGTGATTTCTTTTAATAGTGCCTGGTAGATTATTTTCAGCCATGAATTTGTCTAATTATTCTTTGAATCATGTAGGCTTTTGAAACCCATGGCATCTTGCAATTAGTTCCACAGCTCAATTATGCAGTGCATAGAAAAGTGTCTCTTTTGTTTGCCACCTGAGAATTTGATTTTATGCCTTCTAGATCTCGTATGATGAGAAACAGCCCACAACCATTCCCCATTTGTCTTTCCCATAAACTGTGTTTCACAGGCTAAAAGTCCGAGCACTCCTACTACAGAAACCATCCCATTGCTTCTTCACCATGTTAAATTTCACATTCACAGCTTTTCTAGATCTGCTCTACAGGGCAATAAAAGAGGGTGAAGCCAGTACTACAGCTGGCCATTATCACAGATGGACCTTCAGTCTATCCCAATAAGCTCTTCTCAGAGCCATCAGTGCCTCTCCCAGCTCCAAGGAGTTTGGCCTCCTTAGTCAAGCTCAACCTCTTCACTGGTAAAAGCTGTTGCAAAGGAAATGAAGAGAGAGCCTCCTTCCCTCTGGAGATGCTTTTATGTTAAGGCTCTTTGGTTTGCAGCTGTGTCTGCACCTCCTCTCAGACCTTCTCCTTCTGACCTGGACCTTGACACCCTGGCTTAGCCTCAGACCTGATTCAACATCACAGACCTCCTGGCTGATCAGTGGCCTGAGGCTGACTCTGATCACCGCCTCCAGACCTGCTCCTGATCCGGCCTCATCATCTCAATTTCCTGACACCTCATCGATGAGGCAGTAATGTTGTCATCCTCAGCTCCTGGCCTCCATGCCTTCCCTGGTGGAGCAGCCTGCCTGTGCTGCCCCCAACACCGTTTCTCTCACCTTACAGAGCTCTGCATTTGAAATGCAGAAACTGTTAGATGTGGCAAAGTATATTTCCATGTCAACTGAGCTTGGAAAGGAAAGAGGGGTTTTATCCTGAAGATATGTATATGTTCAAAATTTTAAAAATATTTTATCCTGCCATAGACAGCAGAATTTTCAGAATAGTTATTTTGGTGATAAATTTAAAGCAAGCAACAGCTCAGGACTTACAACACTTTTGGGAGACCACGGCTCATGTTTTTCTGCCAGTGCATGATTAGTCAGGTCTACAAAATGCAGTAGTGCCAATGAATTATACTAAAGAAATCCTACACTGTATTAGCCATAGTTTGAGACAACTGGGTTGAGCGATAACAGGAGAGTTCAAGTCAAACATGGGCGTGGCAGATAATCAGTAGCTCTAGTCTGTAATAGGAGCTATATGTCCAAATGGTTTCCCGGTGAAAACTCTTTAACCTAGTTTTGGTAGTTTTGTTCATCTTTAATATCAGCACATGACATACTGCTGAAATATAACTCCTTTTTACTGGCCATAGCTAAGTGGTGCATCTCTGGATCAGAACCTGGAGATGCTGTTTGAAGTGGAAGTAACTAGGGATTGGTTCTCAAGTCTGAAGTGGTAAGTGACTTCTAGGAAAGATAATGAACTGGAATACAGTCCATAAGGAGGGACAGGAGAAGGCTGCATAGGAGCTGATTTATCAATGGCCAATTTGTTTTTGCCACCAATGTCTCCACTTCTGCTCTGGGTGTTACATAAGTGATGTAGGTTAGTTTAAAGAAGAGACTGGTCGTTGGAAATGACCAGTTTTGACTGAAAATATATCTACAACTGTGATAGAATTAATTTCATTTTAATCAGGATTCCCAGAGGACTCTTATCTAAACTAAGCATAACATTTTTCTAAAATCAATGGAGATAAATGGCTGAAATGCCCATATCCATGCTGACAGCTAGCCTACACCAGACACTTCAGTGATTTAAAATACATCTGATTTAGTTTGTGATCAGGTGAAGCATTTCCTTGCAATCCACTTGTCTTTCTCGCTCATTTTCTAATCCCTTTCTAATCTTTCCACTTCTGTATAATTGGACAGCTCTCCATCTTCACGTGTTTTAACCTCTCCTGGCACAAGAACTGTCTGTTAGGAAATGCCTGCCACCGAGGAAAGCCATTCTACCATCTCTGCCTTGGTGAGTTTGTGGGGGTTTTTTTGTTTGGTTGGTTTTGGATATTTGTTTTGGTTTTGTTTGTCCAAATTTTATGCAAAGAGAGATTATGTCTAGCAACCATTTTCAGCAATTATCGATAATTGTTACATCAGTCCTGGAGTCTCAGTCTCAGCTTTTTAGTTTTCTCTATTGTTTTTTCCCCAACTTATTTTTCCTTTGCTATTGTACATGGCATGTACCTATCAAGATCTACATATTATCATATTTACTTTGTAACTAAATTGTTTGATTCTATAAGCATTGTGGGACAAAACAGAACATGCAGCAAGCAAAGCAAACCTGTGTTGTAGGATATTGTACTATATTAGTCAGTGGGAGGAAGTAGTGCTTTTGGAAATACCGGCTCATTTTAGCAGGAAGCAAATGGGCAGGAATTTCAGTGATTCAGCTTTCAGTCAGGGAGGGGTGACCAGGAAGAATCTGGATCAGGAAGAAGCCAGAAAAGGAATGGAGAATATGAGGAATATGAAAGGGAAGGTGGTTCTGGGGCTTATAATATGTAATGCTGAGGATAAATGTGGTATTTCTCTGCTACGATGTGTCCAATTCATTGCTACAGAGCAGAGAAGCCAGTCTGTGTTTCGGACAAGACTTGAGGTTAGCCTCTGGCATCTTCATTTACGCTTCTAAATAATGTTCACTTTTTCCAAAGTGATGGGCCATTTGCAGTTCTCACTGCCTGCAAGGGAATAATGAATGGCTCAGGCCATGAATTGCAAATGCCAAGCACTGAGCAGCTCCCTCCAGACAATGCATTAACTTCAGACTTTAGGTTCCCAGTGTCAAAAACTTAGAACTCAAAATGCAGATGTAAAAGAATGCTAATGGACAGTGAAAATTCTGACTTAATTAGATGGCTTTAATTAAACCAGTAGTAACCTGTACGTGGATACCCTTAAATGTGACCATTTAAGGGCTCACATTTAATGGCTCTTTGAGCTTAAACTGAATAGGAGCCAGTATAAACTAAACTGAAATGCCACACAAACTGGAGTAACTGACCACACTAGGTCTTACCATGGGTTTAAGTCAGTAAAAGATTAAACAACTACCATTTCTTATTTGGAGGAGCCTTCCAAAGGTAGCTGAAGGGACTGGGAATCAAATATACACAATTTGTTAACTCACTTTTTCACTTTACAGTTAAAGTTTGGGGCACTTGTATATTTTGGAAAATATTTTATGCGATCGCTGGTTAATAACACTCATATATATCTCTGTGAGAACAAAGACATTAAGAAATTCACTGTATTTCTTAAAGATAATTTTAAAATACTGGTAAATGAGCTACTTATCCACCTGGAGCCATTTCAGGTTCACGAGTATGAATGAACTCACCCTTTTTGTAGAGAACCTTTATAATAATGCAGATCATGTGTAAGGTCAGAACCTCAGCTAGTAGCAGTCACTGTGCCTGTATTGAAATGAAGGATATCTACAGCTATAGAGAATCTGTTCTTTCATTAGAAAATCTAAAACCCCAGTTCTCAAGGTATTATAATTCTATTTTTATTCTTTCTTCGTAAAAATGTTATTTAAAAATGGTCAAAATAATTACTGTGTTCACATTATCCAGTTTTGATATTTATTATGTGCTGGCATGAAATCACACGAATTTTAAAAGGATTATAAAGAATGCTATCGACCAAGTGTTACAGAACTATAAATTATTAGAATATTTTGGGAAATTTTTATAAGTCACAGTTGAGGGGTTTGAACTGGATCTGCATTGAATAACATTAAAAATACTTTTAAGGAATAGAAAATGATACAACTAAAAGAAATGTGGGTGGAATTCTAGCAGGTGTAAGTCGGGGCAAGATATCAGTTTAGTAAAGGAATTCAGCGCATGTGAGGTGACGTGGCACCTCCGCGTTCCCTACGCCAGGTCTCCCATGCCGGCTCCCAGCGCTGCAAACAGGGGCCACTGAAGGCCCCTGCCCGTCTGCGGCGGGGACACGGGGCCCTTGGCAGGAGCAAGGGAGCAGGTCGGAGATAAGCCTTCCAGGCTTTTGAAGCCCATGCCTAACTTGGAGAACAGAAGAGAGATTCAAAAGGAGGTGTTAATGCTAACAGCGAACATCTACATGATAATTGACTGCTTACAACTTTCACTGAAACAGAGAGATCAAGACCCTTTTTCACCTAAAGTGTCTGAAGCTTACTTTCTCTGCCCTGTGAAAGTGCCAGAGGCGACCTGAAAAAAAGACCGGTTTCTGTCACTTTCCATTAAAACAAACACAGCGGGCAGCAGGGTTTGCAGGATTCATTTGGACAAAGAGAACAAATAAGAGCGAGCCTGACTAAGACGTGGTCCGGTGACACAGTAAAGCTGCTGTAAGTATCTATTTAATAAAGCTACATCCATATGACATACAAAGCCGAGCTAGTATCAACTCCCTTGCTCTAATTCACTCAAAGCATTTTGGAGGGTATCTTCTCTCCAGGGACTTTATGCTGGATCATGTATTGTGTCCTCCCTAGGCCAGCATAAAACATAAATCCAGTATAAACATTGCATTGTATCCTGTGGCAAGTTAAACAACAAAAAAAAATCAATTGCGGCTCCCTCTGTTCTGGAGTGAATTTGTCCTGTCAGCTCATCTGGTAGGAAGGAAAACGGCAGCACAGGCTGGAGGGTATCATGAAAAGAATTCCTGAGCTGACGTGCTCAGCCACACGGTATCAAGAAATAAGATTTAATTAATAAGGTTATTAAATAATTGCTAGTAGGCTTTAAAAAATGTCTGGTTTGAGACAAGTGAATGAAATTCACATTTGTTTTAACAGTGATGGTACTTTAAATAGGGTGCCTCAGGAAACAGTGTGATCAATATTACAAGATGACATGGTCTGTGATGTGTGAGAACCATGTTCTTGAGCAACATATTTCTTATGCTGGAATTATATTCAGAAAGCAGTACTAGACTGACCCATTTTACACCTTTGATAATACTGAAAACACACCGCTTGGTCCCATATTGGAAAGTAGTCGAGATTATATTTCTGTTTTATAAATGAGGATTATCATTTGAAGGATCTACGGTAAGGAACATATTTTAGACAGAAAGTAACTGAAGAAATAGAAGAAGGAGAACGTTCCAGCAGAAATTATACCAGCAGAAACCCGAATTTTAAAAAAGAAGATGAAAAGAAAAAGAAGAAAAAGGGAAAAAAAGGCTTTGCCTTTTCTGTCAATGGAACCACAGATTCACAGTATTGTGGAGGTTTGCTGGGACACCTGCAATCATCTGCTCCAACCCCACTGTTCAGAGTAGGGTCAGAAAAAGGAGGCTGCCCAGGACTGTGTACAGTAGGTTTCTGAATACCTCTCTGTGTAACCTGGTCGAATGTACAATCTCCCTTAAAAACATTTTTTCTTGTGTTGCTGCACACCCTGGTGACATCTTCTTATGGTGACAGTTTCTCAACAGTGGCACGTCTCCTGCAGGCTAGGAGACCACCTCCCACTGCTTTCGCTCCAGTGAAAGGCTCCAGGCACTCCCAGCAGCCTGAGGAGCGCAGAGCTCAATCCTCCTTCTGAAGCTTTATTTGGAAGCTGTCCTAGAATGAAGTAGGTAAGAACACAAAAGAAACTGGAATAGGTATTTTGAAATAATCTAATCTGTGGAAGCATTTATTGTATAATCAGAATGGGGGGGGGGCTTTTTCCCCTTAGTCTAGCATATTCAGTTTCCAAAACCTGCATTCTCTACCTACACCACATTCCACTATTTGATTACTCGCCTTACCAACTTACTTGGTGAAGACAATACGATGTATGTCTCAGCATGTCTCTTTTGCACTGACTTTCCAAAGATGGCACAGTGGTTAGTGTTACTTTGTCTACAGAAATGTGAACATCCCGTGAACTACTCTAGGAGTAGAAAAGATAGAATATTTGGTAATAATACAGTCAAAGCCAACAGGAGAGGTAAAACAGAAGGCTTAGATGGACTGAAAGGCATAAGAGAAAAATAAGATGAAATAAAAACAGGATTAGCGAGAAAAGTTTTCACATTGGATGTAAAACCCAAGGGCTTCTTAATGTTTTAGACCAAGAGACCATTACTGACCCTCAAGACTGTAGTGACCACAGACACAGCTATTATCAGCATTTTTCAGTTGTAGGGCAATGACAAGACAAGTGATGCAGAGTTTGTATATTTATGTGCATCACATACAGATAACTTCCCAGAATGTGAAAAAAGTTAAATGTTAAACAGCCTCTGCTGAAATATCTTCCAGCAGTGCTCTCTGTATCACAAAGCATGCTTCTTTGTGTATTTTTATTTTTACTTTTCCTTCGGGGTTTTTTTGAATGTACCAAAGTCTTCTGCTAAAATATGTTAGAGAAGTTTTCTTCTTTCAAACATTACTGACAATGAATGCTATTAAAATAAAAGCTTATTTTAAAAAAATCCTTTCTTCCCCTCTGATGTAGCCAGTCATCATTTTGAAAGACTATTTTGAAATTGTATTGAGGCAATGGACAATGTGAATAATGAGTGTGTAATGATCAGAGCCAGTGGAATACACTTTACCTCAGGCTCAGTCCTTGCTGTGCCCCTGCCAGAGTGTGGTTCTTGACTGCTGGTGGATTTTGTAACCTCTGCATTTCTTTCTCTGCAAATGCTTTGTTACTTTTTATCTCAAGAATATATTCTTTAGTTGCTGCAAGCTGATGAAACAGTAAAGCTCTGGGAGAGAAATAATATATTTAATTGATGTGGATGCCCTCTTCCGTATTCTAACAGGTCCATAGAGTACAACCAGCTTTGATGCCCAGTTCCAGGGTCCACCTAGTCCAGCTTCCGTGTCTGTTAGAGGCCAGAAGAGGAAGGTTAGGGAAAGTATGTGAGAATATTGCAAACATTGAGGATTACTTCCCTAGATATATTCTTCCTTCCTTTCCTAGCCCTTGGCTTATGCCCTTTCTGAGCCCAAGGTTTTCATGTGCAACAGTTATTGGTGGATTTTTTTTTCTTCCAGTCATGTCTAATCATTTTGAACGGTGTGCTCTGTAATGCCTGTAAATGTACTAGGGTACATTTTTCCATTTTGGGACCCACAACTTCGCTGGAAAATGAGTTCCACAGAGGAATTATGATTCATCAGAAAAAAAAAATGTCTTTTTGGTCATTTAGTTTTTTGCTTTATAGCTTCATCTGCTTCTCTGTCATTCTTAGATTATGAAAACTAAGACATAATAATTTCTTATCTGCCTTCTTTGTACTATCACAGTTTTATAAACCTTTATCATATTCATCCTCAGCCATCTGTGTTTTTCAAGCTGAAGAGTCTTAGCCTATTTAATCGCTTCTCATAGAGAAGCTGTTCCATATTTTTACTCATCCCAGTTGCCCTTCTTTTTATCATTGCTATATTCATTTAGAGATGGTAAGACTAGAAATGTATGGTATTCAAGATTCCTGGAGGCACAATGGACTTGCATTCAGCAGAATGCTCTCTTCTGTTTTGCTTTCTATCCCTTCCACAGTGATTCCTAACACCCTATTTCCCTTTTTTGACTGCAGCTGTGATTTCTACACACAGTGATTCTGCATTTTTTTTCCTCAAATAACTGCTTGAGAAACTATTCTTGTAAATTATTTGCTTTTGTCTGTTTTTTAAAGTATTTTCAGGAATTTTGCCAGTGCTTGTCTGAGCAATTCTCAGACACAGGAACCTGATGACTATTGGGTAACATCTGAAGTTTAGTTGCTAATGGACGTGGAGTCATGTTTGCACTGCCATGCAAACTTTCCTGAAAGTATGCTAAAGACATTTAGGAATCAAATTAACTGAAGCAGGTTGCCAGTTAAGGCAACCTCTCAACAGCAGAGGTAAAGATATTAGGAAAAGACATTGGACAGTAAGCCTGTTCTTGCTGATCTGGGTAGAAGAGCGTAAGTATGCTGGAGGCGAAGTCCCAGCAGCATAAGTGGTGCAACTTAATATCCAGTATTTTAGGATTCATCAACAGGACTCAAAATGGTGGGATCATAAGATTGTTAGCATTTAAAATAATTGTCAGTTACCTGTGAGTTTTTGTGGTACTAGAAAGGAATTTTTTTAAAAAATAAAGTGTCTTTGTTGTGTAGCAATTAATGTACCAATATCTCAATTGCTACTTCACTCGTCATTCTCAAGAATTCTATAAATAAAAGAAATTCTAACAAATAATTGAGAACAAAGATTACAGGGGTTTTTTTTACTCCTCTCTGTTCCAATGTAGACATTTCCTGTATTTTTAGAACAATGATTGTTAGAAGATCTACAGAAAATTAAGTAATCGAGTCTACACATCTTAATCAAGCCATTTTGATCCACTTTTTCATTTTATTCATCTATTAAGGAAAGGCAATATTTACTTATATAACTCATGAGTACTGTGAGTGATAATTAACGCTTATAAGATGTAGTATGATTGAAATGAAGAGCTATGCACTTCCAAAGGATTATTAATTTTATTATCATCGTTATTACTGTACTGAGCTATTGGAAATTACTAAAAGATAGCCAATTACTGTGGATTTTCTTGAGTTGACTTTGTAGGGTATTAAAACGAGAGTGTTACACTGCAGAAAACTCATAATGAAGTTGTAAAAGTGAGATTATATCCCATGCCTTAAAATAGTATTGTCCATCCTGGAAGCAAAAAAATCCAAATAATGAATAAATTCTGATTAAGACAAAAATGTGCTGATCTCTCTTTTCACTTATAGTGACTCATTTACTGCTTGCTGAAAAATCCCTGTCTCTGTCTCCATGATTTTTGAGTCATATGCCAGAAATGTTTGTGATTTCTGGAAAAAAGGTTATGGCCAATGGGCAACTGGATTTCTGCAGTTTAACGAGAGCCCTCTTGTCAGGTGAGCTGCTGAATTGGATAGTTTGATAGCTCCTGCCACTGAGAACGTGAGCACAGGTCAGCTCTTGAGGTCCAAGTGATGAGCCACTTGCTAAGGTGTGGTGACCTCGTGGCTGCGACCCTCATACACCAGAGTGTGACTAACAGCAGCATGGCTGGATCAAGAGATGCCTGTCCCTAAGGCTTTCAGCTCGGGGCTTTTATTCTCTGCTTCATAGGACATCTCCCTCAGTTAAACCAATCTGGCTGCATGACTGTGCTTTACAGCACAGTATGCTGTGAAATGAATCCGATTAAAAATGGCACTAACACCATCATTTTGGAAAAGGTTTCCTTTTAAAAAATAGGTCATTTATAAAGCTGATTTAGAACATGGCTGTACCTCGAGATTGTCCCCATGAAGATTTAAAATATCTTTGTTAATATCCACTCTAAATGGTTATTTGGATTAATATTCTTGAGTTTCCCATGAACACAGGTTGAATTATACTGTGAAGAAAATTAATTATTTCCACTGGCAGTAAGGAATAATTTCTTACGCAGAATTTCTGCCTCCTACTTGACTGGATTTCTAGACATTCCAATTTAAGTTCTTGATGAGTTGAGAATAAAAGATTTCCCTATCCTAAACTGAAAGATTAATTACAGAACAAAGACTGTCTATGAAGAAAAATGTTATTCCTCACCCTTTACCAATGCTGAGAGAAAGTAATTAGTTAGGGGTCTAATCAAACCCCCAGCAGGATTTGTAGTGAAAGGTTAAACCATCGCTGTCCTTCCTGACACCTTGCTGTTCTGGGTGCTGGAAAGAGCTCTGGTTTAATTGCAACAATCCAAGAACCTAACAGGACACTCTCCCTATGACAGCGATCTCTGAAGTATTGGAAAGCATGATCTAGAGGGACATGGGATTTCACAACAGCTGACAAAATTGTGCAATTGAAGCAGTGCTGTGCAGGAAGAAACGCTGATGCGGATTCAGAGAGGTGGTGACTCTCAGAGGGCTCAACCAGTGCAAGTTTTTACTGCTTCATTTGTGACATGCGTTGTTGGGATATCAAGCCAATTCCAGTGCTGTAAATATTTCAGTCTTGACAGAAAGCAGCTTGGGAGAAAAGGACCTGGTGGACACCAGGTTGACACCAGATTGAACATGAGCAAGCAATGTGCCCTTGCCACAAAGAAGGGGAAAAGTATCCTGGGCTGCATTACACAAAGTATTGCTTGTAGCTTGAGGGAGGTGATCTTTCCACTTTATTCAGTGCTGGTGAGGCCACACCTGGAGTCCAGTTATGGGTTTCTCGGTACAAGAGAAACATAGACACACCGGAGAGAGTCCAACAAAGGGCCGCAAAGATGATGAAGACGCTGGAGTATCTCTCCTGTGAGGAAAGGCTGAGCGAGCTGGGACTGTTCAGCCTGGAGAAGAGAAGGCTTGGGGAATCTCATCAGTGTACACAGATACCTGAAGGGAGGGAGCAGAGAGAGTGGAGCTGGACTCTTCTTATGGTGCCCAGTGACAGGACCAGAGGCAATGGGCACAAACTGAAACACAGAAGGTTCCTTCGAAACACCTTTTTTACTGTGACGGTGACCGAGCCCTGGCACAGGTTGCCCAGAGAGATTGAAAGCACCCACAAAGATCAGTCCAACTCTCTGCTCCTCACAGGAATACCTAAAACTAAACCATATGAGAAAGACTATAACTGAGATGCTCCTTGAACTCTGACAGGGTTGGTGCTGTGATCGTTTTGCTGGGGAGCCTGTTCCAGTGACCAATTACGCTCTCACAGAACTTTTTCTTGATGTCAAATCTGAACTTCCCCTGATGCAGCTTCATTCCGATTTCTCAAGTCCTATCAGTCGACATCAGAGAAAGGAGTCTCCATCCTTGGAGATGTTCAAAAGCCATCTAGACATGATCCTGGATAACCTGCTTTAGGTGGCCCTGCTTGAGCAGGAAGGTTGGACCAGGTACCTCCAGAGGTTCCTTCCAACCTTCACTGTTCTGTGATTCTGTGACTTATGATGATGTTGACTGACTGGCCTACAGGTTCATGTTAAAAAACCCCATTGCCACAGGACGGATGTATTTAATATCATGTGAAGGACTTCACTGTATCACATCTGTTAACCTATTCTTGTCATTTCACTCAGTATATTCATGGTTCCTCCCCTGGGGAGCTTGCCCATCGAAGTGTCCAACCAGACCCTTACCCAAACATATTTCAGTCACCAAAGCACCTTCGTCGACCTCCCTGTGAGGATCCTCACCCTCGAAGCGAGGCGCGACGCCGGCACACGGCTCAGAGCTCGCCCCGCCACGCGGAACTGTCACGCCCTTCCCCTGCGGGAAGGGGCCGCCAGCTGGGACACCCTGCTGGGGATGGGGGTCTCGGGGCTCGGCGTCGCGCTGGGGTCCGGGCTGGGCGAGCCCCGCGGAACGTCCGTTGTGGGGGCCCGAGCCTCCGGGGCCCCCTCGCCGCCCCCCACGGCCACCGCCCCCGACGGGGCGGGGCCGGACCCGCCCGACGCGTTTCGAACGGGCCAACGGGAGGCGCGGGGGGGGCGGGCGCGCACAGGCCCCGCCCGGGACTTTAAAGCGCCATTTTGTGCTGGGCGCAGGACATCGATCGTCGCTCACACCCGGCGGGCGCCCGGCGGCGGCCGGAGCCTGCCCTCGGCGCTGCGTCCGCGCTGCCTTCTCGGCGTCTGTCCCGGCACCCCGTCCCTCTGCCTCCATGACCCGCAGTAGGAAGCAGGCGGCACTGGAGAGAGGAGCCGGGAAGATGAACCCAGAGGCGGGGAGCGCCGCGGCGGCGGCCGCGGGAGCCCGGGCGGCGGCGGCGGCGGCGGCGGCGGCGGCGGCAGGGGCAGCTGGCGGCGAAACGGCGGCCGCCGCCTGGGGGCTGGAGGGGGAAGCGGAGAAAGTTGTGTACTCGCGCTCGCAGGTCTCCTTCGCTGGCACCAAGGCGCTGGGCGACGCCCTCAAGCTCTTCATGCCCAAGTCCACTGAGTTTATGAGCTCGGACTCGGAGCTGTGGAACTTCCTCTGCAGCCTCAAGCACGAGTTCTCCCCGGTCATCCTCCGCAGCAAGGACGTCTACGGATACTCTTCCTGCCGCGCCGTCGTCCCCGACCCGCCACCGCCCTCGGAGCGGCCCCGCCGCCGCGCCGGCAAGCGGCGCCTCCCGGCCGCCGACGCCAAGCGCCGGGCCGGGGCGGCGGGCGGCAGCGCCAAGCGGCGGCGGCGGCGGCGGCGCCGCAGGAGGGAGCGGGTCAGGCAGCGCTCGGCGGTCGGTGGCCCCCGCGCAGCGGGGCAGGAGGAGGAGGCGGCGGCGGAGGCGCCGGAGCCGCCGGGCGAGCAGGCGGACAGGGAGCGGGGCAGCCCGGCGGCGGCCGCCTGGGAGCCGTTCGGCGGCAGATCGCTGGAGGAGATTTGGAAGGCGGCCACCCCCCGCCTCACCACGTTCCCCACCATCCGTGTGCGGGGCAGCGTGTGGAGCCGGCGGAGCCTGGCGGCGGCGCGGCGGCGGGCGCAGCGGATCCTCGGCGTGGACCTGTCCCCCGTGGTGCGGGTGCGCCGCTTCCCCGTGGCGCCGTCCTGAGCCCGCGGGGGCCCCGCTCCCCGCGCCTTACCTGGGCCGCGGTGCGGACAAAGAGACCGGTATCAGTCACCTGTTTACATTGCTTTTGTCTGGATCGTGTTCTGCTGCAGCACTTTATGGCCCGCTCGGGCGGCGCCGGGCCCCCCGCCGTATGGGGGGCGGCCTGCCGGGCCCCGGCCTCGCCCCGGGCTGGGACCGTCTGGCAGGTATCACGCATGGGGACCAAGTTCCACTTCCACTTTTTTTCTCCCCATTGGGCTACCTCACTGGTCCAGAAGTCCACCCAAGAAGTTATTTTCCAAAGGAACTTACTTTCATGCTTGTATAATAAAGCACCATCTGAATTCTTGCTATTTTTTTCCTTCCCCCTCCCTTCCCCATTTCTGATGGATTATGTATGCTTTGTGGTGTTGCACTAGTATGTGCTCAGGGTATTTTGAATCCCAAGCATTCCCAAGTTTCAGTTTATTCTGATAAAGGATGCATAAAGAATGGAGGTTCAGGACTTGTGGCTGTTCTTGATGGTGCAAAAACTTTTTTTTAATTATAATTTCATGGGCTTAGTGATATATAAAGATGTATTGCGCAGTATAATTGTTACACTTTTGTATCTAAAGTCATTTTTAAAGTTTTCTAGTTGAACTAAGTATTTGTTTCTATGGAGCACCTAAAGATAGAATCATCCTGATATTTTATAACCCTGTTTACTTTAGGGAAGCTCATTTGGTCAACCTAAGTGAACTTAATAAAAGTTAAAGAACAAGTGGCTTTCAGTTCAATGAAACTGCACAGGGTTGGGTTCCTGGTGAAGTACACCACCACCGAGGCGCTTTATGTCAATGAGCTCTGCCTTTTTGAAGAATGTAACTGCTCATCAAAGCAATCTGTAGGTATCTGGAGGTGAACTATGATCCAATGTTGGTGCTGACAGCCAGAAGTCAGGAGCTCGCACGACATAAATATCACACTGAAGTGCCTAGCTCTGCAAAAAGAGCAGAACTTGATACCTGATCACTTCATGACAAACTAGCACTTGTTGACCTGCAGTTGGAAGATGATTAATGATGGATAATCATATTTAATATAATTATTTGCACATAATTATTTTTATAAACATTTCATGGGTTTCACAGTAGACTGGTGAAAATTCATGATGTAGCTTGATTATTATGACTGAAAAATAACATGTAGTCATTCTGTGCGCTAGGCAGTCACTTTTAAACTGATTTATTAAAGGCTTTTTTTTAGGTCTTAGGCCTTGCAGTTGGTGTGTGAGGAGCAAGAGTGTGCGTGAAGGGAGAATGTGATTATTTTCTTTTTACGTTAACTTTTTTATGCTGCGAGAGGAGTAAAAAATGCTGGGTAACACACAGTTTATGTCCCTAGTATCCTGGCAGACGGGAGTAACAAGTTTTCATGGTGGAATGAACAACTTCACAACTTACTTATAGAATCATTTGGTGACTCTTAACATTTCTGATGTCTGTCGACTCCTTGTTGTCTACTGTCAACAGAGGCAATAAGATGACTTGATGTATAGAGGCTGCTTGTAAAAACCTAGTGCTAACCTAAAACATCCAGCTTTTAAAAATCTGTGTATATTTTGTAGTTCTTTCTTACATAGTGGAGCTGCAAACTTCTTCCAAACTCGCACTTAATCTATTCTATATCCATCTGGCTTTTGAAATTGTTTACATAACGTTAGACCGTCTGCTGATCGCTGCAGTAGTGCCACGTCGCATTTCAGAAGTGAATTAAATGAAAGTTCAAGGGCATGTAGTGTTTTGCTGTTTCTCTGCTATAATACCTGCTTAAACACAGAGGCAAAATTTGGTTGCTTTAAAACCCAGTAAGGCAAGTTGCAATGGGACCAAATGCTGAGGCTCCAGGTATTTTAGTTTTGAAATTCCTCTTCAGAAACACAAGAGCATCACTTCTAGTTCTTGAAGCAGCTAGGTGATTTCAGTGCTCCTACTGTTAGGTTGAGGGGTTTTTTTAGTATTCTTTTCAGCTGTGTAGAAAGATGATAAAATGTAAGCAGTTGTCTTATGCAAACTCTTAACTCATAAACAGGCACAGGACAGGCTAGGTCAGATTTCAAGGGCAAGAGTTAAGGCTGCCAGAGGTATGATATGGGAGACGCTGTGTTAAATTTGTGCTACTCCAAATTTGTTTGGAGGCATATCGTGAAATGTTCTCTGTGGGAACAAAATATAATGAAGTAACTTATAACTCTGTTGAGTGACTCTTGCTGTGTGGGCTGTATACATAAGGCTTCCTTATTTTTCTCTTGGTTGTGCTTTGACTTCTTGGTTTAGAAGTGGCAGCTTTATTGGGAGTAGAGTGTGCTTTGCTGATACCCTATTAGCAAATTGGGTGAAGTTTCACCGGAGT